CCCCCAAATAGCTAGCAATCCAAAACAGTCCAGTGGAGCCTGAGTGGTGGGTGTTGCCTTCTGACCCACTTCCGGTGATGTCAGGGTGTGTGGCATATGCAAATGAGTTATGCTAATGAGCTCCCACACCTCTTTTTCTACGAAATGACCCCTTCCTCACAGTATCACTATTGTAGGTAGGGCAGAGGAGCTGGAGATTGCTGCACCTTAATGAATGCTTCTGAGGACCGACAGCTGGAAGGAAGCAAGCAACCGTGAGGTATAGTGCCCCCCCCAAAAAAAAGGTTCTTCACAGACCTGTAAATCCTTTTTTCAGTCTTCAGTTTACTGGAAGCAATTCAAACGCCATCGACACCGACGAACCGTGCGCATTACATCTCGTTTCGTGTCTATCTTTATCAAAGTGGGTAGCGTTGAAGTAACTATATAATGTTAATCCATTTGGCAAACCTTCTAGTCATATCTCATAGTCACGTTCATCAAATCCATTAGTGTGACCTTTGGTTTAGACTGTGAAGAACCTTTTTTTTTGGCACTCTACATCACGGTTGTTTGCTTCCTTTCAGCTTCTGTGAACGGAGGCTGCCCAGTGACATTCTGTGGAGGGTTTCCTTTTTTAAGTCCTCTGTGCACAAGGAAGAACTCCCAGTAAAAACATCGAGGCTCTCTTTATCACCTCCTGCCCTGGACCAGAAAGGATTTCTACTTGGAGCTCTGATCCGGTGACATATTTGTACATCTGGACCAGTGGTTGAGTTATGGGTACCCTGCTGGCTGCTGCAAATCCAGTGTAAACTCTCCAGTCGAAGCACAAAAGGAGGGCAGAGCAGAGTAGCCAGTTTTGTTTCAGACACTCCTGCAAGTACACTGGGGGGTTTGTGGGAGGTGCGTGGGGACCAGTGCTCCCTCTAAGCTATGGAGTCTTGTGAGCAAAAGTTCTACTTTGTGAGCTACTGGCAATAAAGTTGTGAGCAAGCGATTTGGCTGCTGCATAAATTAGTTTGCTCCGGAGCCGTCCTTCCTGAGTTAAGACAAAAATCTCTGAGCTGGAGGCTAAAAAACTGTGAGCTAGCGCACACTAACTCAGTTTATAGGGAACACTGGCGGGGACCTTTCACAAGTTATAGGGTGCGCAGCAACTAGATCATACATGGTGTAGAACACATTACGTACAAGGCAGTATACACATAGTAGCACTGATTGGAACCAACAAAAAATACAGTTGACTAGAAGTGTTCCGGCCACAAAGACCTTATTCACTGGCCCCAGTTTAATACCACGCGCACACTATATGAAGCAGTATGCACTGTAGATTCCAGTGGGTAGCTGTGTTGGTCTGAAGCAACACAACAAAGTTTGAGTCCAGTGGCATCTTTAAGACCAACAAAGTTTTGTTCTGGGTACAAGCCTACACACAAAAGCATATACCAAGAATTAAACATTGATGGTCTTAAAGGTATCGCTGGACTCAAACTTCAATCTGTATCGTAATTAGCTATGTAAGGTATTGTGGGGGCATCCCAAAATATATACTGTCACACAGAAATCCTCTGTGGGAGTATTACACCTGGCTCCTGATCTTTATAGCCACACCAAAGGGAATGAGAGATGGTATAACCATACTGAATACAGCAGGTTCCTTCACCCATGGTGTACATATGGTGTGCAGCAACCGTAAATTAACCGTAAGTTTTTAATGCACTGTAATATTGAAAGTGGGCTGCGGTGGCTCAAGTGGTTAAGACGCTGGACTGCAGATCACAAGGTTGGTGGTT